CTTTTGACTATGTTCAAGATAATTAAGTTCATCTTATGAACTCCCACTCAGATAGACATCCCTCTGGTCATCTAAGTGATTACATGATCCGAGTCAACTAGGCCGTGTCCGATCATCACGTGAGACGGATTAGTCATCATCGGTGAACATCTTCATGTTGATCGTATCTACTATATGACTCATGCTCGACCTTTCGGTCTCTGTGTTCCGAGGCCATGTCTGTACATGCTAGGCTCGTCAAGTTAACCCTAAGTGTTTCGCGTGTGTAAATCTGTCTTACACCCGTTGTATGCGAACGTAAGAATCCATCACACCCGATCATCACGTGGTGCTTAGAAGCGAGGAACTTTAGCAACGGTGCACAGTTAGGGGAGAACACTTCTTGAAATTTTTGTAAGGGATCATCTTATTTACTACCATCGTTCTAAGTAAACAAGATGCACAAACATAATAAACATCACATGCAATTATATAGTAGTGACATGATATGGCCAATATCATATAGCTCCATTGATCTCCATCTTCGGGGCTCCATGATCATCATCGTCACCGGCATGACACCATGATCTCCATCATCATGATCTCCATCATCGTGTCTTCATGAAGTTGTCTCGCCAACTATTACTTCTACTACTATGGCTACCGGTTAGCAATAAAGTAAAGTAATTACATGGCGTTGTTTAATGACACGCAGGTCATACAATAAATAAAGACAACTCCTATGGCTCCTGCCGGTTGTCATACTCATCGACATGCAAGTCGTGAATCCTATTACAAGAACATGATTAATCTCATACATCACATATCATTCATCAAATTCTTCTTGGCCATATCACATCACATAGCATACCCTGCAAAAACAAGTTAGACGTCCTCTAATTGTTGTTTGCATGTTTTACGTGGCTGCTATGGGTTTCTAGCAAGAACGTTTCTTACCTACGCAAAACCACAACGTGATATGACAATTGCTATTTACCCTTCATAAGGACCCTTTTCATCGAATCCGTTCCGACTAAAGTGGGAGAGACTGGCACCCGCTAGCCACCTTATGCACCAAGTGCATGTCAGTCGGTGGAACCTGTCTCACGTAAGAGTACGTGTAAGGTTGGTCCGGGCCGCTTCATCCCACAATACCGTCGAAACAAGATTGGACTAGTAACGGTAAGCATATTGAACAAAATCAACGCCCACAACTACTTTGTGTTCTACTCGTGCAAAGAATCTACGCAATAGACCTAGCTCATGATGCCACTGTTGGGGAACGTAGCAGAAATTCAAAATTTTCCTACGTGTCACCAAGATCTATCTATGGAGAAACCAGCAACGAGGGGAAGGAGAGTGCATCTACATACCCTTGTAGATCGCTAAGCGGAAGCGTTCATGAGAACAGGGTTGAAGGAGTCGTACTCGTCGTGATCCAAATCACCGGAGATCCTAGTGCCGAACGGACAGCACCTCCGCGTTCAACACACGTACAGCCCGGTGACGTCTCCCACGCCTTGATCCAGCAAGGAGAGAGGGAGAGGTTGAGGAAGACTCCATCCAGCAGCAGCACAACGGCGTGGTGGTGGTGGAGGAGCGTGGCAATCCAGCAGGGCTTCGCCAAGCACCACGGGAGAGGAGAAGGAGGAAGAGAGGCAGGGCTGCACCAAGAGGGAGAAGTTCTCATGTGTTGGCAGCCCCAAAACCTCAAGTATATATAGGGGGGAAGGGGGCTGCGCCCCCTTTAGGGTTTCGCACCCCAAGGGGTGCGGCCAGCCCTAGATCCCATCTAGGGGGGGCGGCCAAGGGGGGAGGAGTGCCTCCCAAGTCAAATGGAGGCCTCCCCCTTTAGGGTTTTCCCCTTCCCATGCGCATGGGCCTTGGGGGGGCTGGTGCCCCTGGCCCATTAAGGCTAGGGCGCCCCCTACAGCCCATGCTACTGTATTGGACGTGGTGGAACAATTTCCGAACCTCTGGACCCCTCCGGAATCCTCCGGAACCTTCTGGAAGCTTCCCGGTACAATACCGAAAAAACCCGAACTTTTTCCGGAACCCGAACAACAACTTTCCATATATAAATCTTTACCTCCGGACCATTCCGGAACTCCTCGTGACGTCCGGGATCTCATCCGGGACTCCGAACAACATTCGGTAACCACATACAAACTTCCTTTATAACCCTAGCGTCATCGAACCTTAAGTGTGTAGACCCTACGGGTTCGGGAACCATGCAGACATGACCGAGACATTCTCCGGTCAATAACCAACAGCGGGATCTGGATACCCATGTTGGCTCCCACATGTTCCACGATGATCTCATCGGATGAACCACGATGTCAAGGACTCAATCGATCCCGTATACAATTCCCTTTTTCTAGCGGTATTGTACTTGCCCGAGATTCGATCGTCGGTATCCCGATACCTTGTTCAATCTCGTTACCGGCAAGTCTCTTTATTCGTTCCGTAACACATCATCCCGTGATGAACTCCTTGATCACATTGTGCACATTATGATGATGTCCTACCGAGTGGGCCCAGAGATACCTCTCCGTTTACATGGAGTGACAAATCCCAGTCTCGATTCGTGCCAACCCAACAGACACTTTCGGAGATACCTGTAGTGCACCTTTATAGTCACCCAGTTACGTTGTGACGTTTGGTACACCCAAAGCATTCCTACTGTATCCGGGAGTTGCACAATCTCATGGTCTAAGGAAATGATACTTGACATTAGAAAAGCTTTAGCATACGAACTACGATCTTTGTGCTAGGCTTAGGATTGGGTCTTGTCCATCACATCGTTCTCCTAATGATGTGATCCCGTTATCAACGACATCCAATGTCCATGGTCAGGAAACCGTAACCATCTATTGATCAACGAGCTAGTCAACTAGAGGCTTACTAGGGACATGGTGTTGTCTATGTACCCACACATGTATCTGAGTTTCCTATCAATACAATTATAGTATGGATAATAAACGATTATCATGAACAAGGAAATATAATAATAACTAATTTATTATTGCCTCTAGGGCATATTTCCAACAGTCTCCCACTTGCACTAGAGTCAATAATCTAGTTCACATCGTCATGTGATTAACGCTGATTCCAGCGGCCGCGCTAAAATGCAGCATGCGCACGTAGCTCCAGCAGGCGCGCTAAAATACAGCGCGCGCTCATGCTACAACATTTTTTTAATAACTTTGCATAGATAAAACGATACGTAGTTCATAGCATAGATAAAAAAGTATACAAAGATATTTTACATAGTTCCAAAGCATCATTAGATAGAACTACGGTGCAACTAGATAGAAAAAACTAAGGTGCAACGAGACAAACTACGGTGACTCCCAGCCGTCATCATCATCACCATCATCATCCTCGGTGGTGTTGTCCGAGGTATCGAGCCACATGTCATCCCAACGCAGATCGTTGGGGGAGAAGATCGACTGCCCGCCGTTCTCGACGATATCGCACTGCGATAAGGCCAGTGCCTTGCGCCGACGCCTGTCGGCACGCTCCGCGCGGCGCCTTGCCGTCCTCTCTGCCCAGAACTCGTTCTCGGCGGCGACGTCCTCCGGGTGGCGACGGCGCCACTCCGCCATGGCTCGCTCGTCCTCCTCGGCGATGAGGAGGCGGCGCTGCTGCCGCACGTGGTCTGCACTGTCCTGGTCGGTGATGAGATGAGGCGGAGGGGCGAGGCGCTGCGCCTGCTCGCGCGTGAAGACATCCCGGAAGTTCATGTGTGACCGGGGCCTCTCCAAGCGTCATGCCGCCGCGTCGTACGCGCGGGCCGCCTCATGCGCGGTCTGGAACGAGCCGAGGCCGAGCCGTACGTCGCCGGACCGGATCTCGGCGAAGTACCAGCCCGAGGGGTGCCCGCGGACACCGCGGTAGCCCGAAGAACCCCGACGGCGCGGCGGCATGGTGGCGCGGTGGTGGCGGGGAAAGCGGCGAGAAAGAGCGACTGGCGAGGAGGAGGGCACGTGACAGTGTGGTTGAGCGCGTGGCGAGCGCCGGATTTTATAGGCGCGCGCGAAGCGGCGCGCCATATCTACCGCGCCAGCTGCCACTTTCTCCCCCGCGCGCGGAAACGCTTCCCGCGCGCGGTAATTTGCCGCCACCGCTGGAACACGCGAAACCGGGCCGCGCGTGCTAAAAAACGCTTTTACCGCACGGACGCGTCTTTTAACGCGCCTGTTGGAGATGCTCTAAAGTCAGGCTCAAGGCCGAATATGTCTATGCCCAACTGGTTACGCGCGCAACTCCAATCCCTGCCATTGCCCCCTTCATGTGGATGCGAGCCCTTGCATGTGCATGACGCTCTCTCTCTCTCTTCCTGTGCACACACTGACACATGCATGTCTTACATCAACACATCAATGCTTACTTTATCTTCCCTCTCCTCTAACTCCATCACTTTTAATTTTCTTTTGACAATTTTAGATGGCTCATATCTTTAAAACCAAAATTACGTTTTTGAAACTTTTTGCATATTTGAACTCGTGACGCCAAGCACTTCTTGTATATGTTTGAGATATGGTAATTGAGGTGTCCGGATGTGGATTACATTATTTGGGGTGCCCAGTGGCTTGCGGACGCGCAAATCCGTTACCTTAAATGCCGTGGACGCGTCCGGATCGGATTTGACAAGTCCGGCTGTAGATGCTTAAAGTCGGGTTCATTTCATTCTCTCTAAAAGTAAATTTTAGGCCACATTACGCTGATCAGTTGGATGGAAATATTACCCCAAACCAGCACACACAAAGGTCCAGCAGGTGGTACAAAGCAACGGGATGCTGCCGGAGATTCCTTCAGTCCGGAGGTATTTTTATTGCCAATCGGACGCACGAGGCAGAGCGTGCTAATTTTGTATAGGTGTGTTGTGTTTGCCAAAGCGCCAGTGATAGATGTATCTGCTCTATATAGGCTCCGGCACGCGTCCCTGATAACTATACCTACGCTTCCCAACCATCTTCACAGAGCGACCTGCCGTTTGCCGAAGCACATCGCCGGTGATGGACTCTGCGCCTACGGTGGCGGTGCACGTCCTTGTGTTCCCTTGGCCACGGCAGGGACTCATCAACCCCATGCTCCACCTCGCCACGGCCCTCCTCGACGCCGGCGTCCACGTCACCTTCCTCCACACCGAGCACAACCTCTCCAGGATTGCCAGTGCCAGGGCGCCTCCGCCGCGCCTACGTTTGCTGTCTATCCCCGATGGCCTCCCCGACGACCACCCCCGCCACTACATGGAGCTGATGGAGTCCATGTGCACGACCGGCAGCGCCGCGTACCGTGCCCTGCTCTTGTCATCGCTTCTGCCCGCCGACGATGTGCCGCCGGTGACATGCGTTGTCGCCGATGGCACCATGCCGTTCGCCACCGACATCGCCGAGGATCTCGGCATTCCGGCGCTTGCCTTCTGCACATTCAGCGCGTGCAGCTCCCTGGCGTTCATGTCCATGCCCAAGGTCTTCGAGCTCGGCGAGAACCCCTTCCCTGCGGACGACCCAGTGTGTGGCGTTTCGGGGATGGAGGGCATCCTCCGGCGATGAGATCTTCCTCGTGGTCCTGGACTCTGTTCCACTGAGCAAGCAGGCGGCGGAGATCTCATGATACTCAAGATCGGCGAGGGCGTCGCTCATAGCTGCAAGGCGCGTGCGTTGATAATCAACACCGCCGCGTCCATGGAGCGGCCAGCGCTCGCCCACATCGCGTCGCGCACACGCGACGTCTTCGCGGTAGGTCCACTCCACGCCAGCTCGAGGTCCGCCGCAAGCGCGAGCCTGTGGCGGGAGGACGACGGGTGCATGGCGTGGCTAGACGGCCACGGCGACCGGTGTGTCGTATACGTGAGCCTGGGGAGCATCGCCGTGATCTCGTACGAGCAGCTCACCGAGTTCCTCTCCGGCCTCGCAGCCACCGGGTACGCCTTCCTCTTGGTGCTCCGGCCGGGCATGGTCCAGACGGCTAGCTCAGCGCTACTTCGAGAAACCGTCGCGGTAGCGCAAGCCGGCAAGGCCAAGATCGTGGAGTGGGCTCCTCAGCTGGACGTGCTGCGGCACAGAGCGGTGGGCTGCTTCCTGACACACGCCGGCTGGAACTCCACGCTGGAATGCGCCGTCGAGGGCGTGCCGATGGTGTGCTGGCCCTTCTTCCTCGACCAACAGACGAACAGCCGTCTCGTTGGCGCCGTGTGGAGGACGGGGCTGGACATGAAGGACGTGTGCGACAGGGCTGTCGTGGAGAAGATGGTGAAGGAGGCCATGGTGTCCGGCCAGATCAAGGCAGCGGCCCAAGCCATGGCGGAGCAGTTGAGGCTGGACATCGCCGACGGGGGCTCATCGTCATCCGAGTTAGGGCGGCTCGTCCGCTTCATCAGAGGGCTCAGCGTCAAGTCTGGTCCAGAGCCAAGAATTACTTAAATGAAAATTAGTATGGTTGCTTCCAAGGGGGTGAACTGTGTCAAAATTTCAACATTGGGATAACAAGGGACCAAACTTGTATTTGGGGGTATTCCATGTCAAAAGTGTCATCCTTGAGGTAAAAAAATGGAATAAACTTTCAACTTTTGGTACAAAAAATGTTTGTTTACCACTTTTGTTTGCTCTGTCAAAAAAGAAAAGAAAGCGGCAAGCTTAGCTTATGATATTTATGCCTATTAGTAAACACTTAACTGTTTGTAATTTGGACGGACCCAATGCGCTATGTAATTATGTTTTTTTTTAAACGGAGGCAAAAGCCCAGCCTTTTTTGGATATTATCATCATTGCCCAACCTTTTTCCATACAGGTGTTGTTAAAATATGGATTGTTCTACCCCCAAATTTTTTTTATGGACTGTTCCAGTGGAAACAACTAGAAAACCTTATGTCTCATGATGCTCTTTTGAGTCAATAAAATCACCCTTTATCGAGAAAAATGCCTCTTGCAAAGGAAAAATGTGTCCAAGATGAGAACCAATCCTGCACTATAAAGCAATACCTTGTGCATACTAGGCCTATTTGTTGTGTTATCTTGTACATATCTAGTCGTTCGTACAAGTGTTCTGATCTTCTGTGTTGTAGACAAACCGAGAAGAAATTTGACATCACTGACACAATCAAGAGTGGAGCGCGACTATTCCTTATTGATTCTAGGATCAGGAGAGAACTTATGATGGCTTTCACCAGGGACTCCAAGTTGCATGTTGAACATGTACTGATCTACATAGATTGCTCAAATCGCAATGTTGACTCAGACAAATTTCTTCGATGGCTTACTACGGCGTGTTTCTCTCTTTTGCAGCTGGTTGATGTATATAGAGTGGAGGAAAATCAAATAGATATATATTCAGGTCAGTCCTAGTTAGCTTGATTATAGATGACCTCCTGACAATAGGTCAGGCCTTTGGCGAGGAGTAGACCTACAATTTCAGTGCCTTCTCTTGTTTCTCTTTCTTTTCCTTTGCTTTGACTCATTTCATTCTGTACACTATTTCCCCCTTCTATATTGAAAAGCAGAGCTCCTGCTGTTAACCATAAAAAAAATTAGGTTCGCACTTAAAAAAAATACACTTCCGTGATGATACGTGTTTGTTACAGTAGGTCGCGTTTTTTGTCATGCATGTACATCCATGACAAATTTATGACAGAATCAAGATAGTCATACCTGTGCTGTCGTAGAAGTGTTCCATGACATTATCAAAATTATCATCACGAAAGTGTCCACTTTCATGACGATAAATCGCGCGTCACAGAAGTGCTTTCGTCAAGGGTGACCGACACGTGGCATCCACCGTAACGGAACGCCGTTAAGCTATCGGGTCGGGTTTTGGATCCGATAACCCATTAACAGCCCCGACCAATGGGAAATTTCCACGTGTAAAATTCTTATTGGCCGGACGAAACACGTGTCAGCTCGTTAGTGGGTCAGATAGGCGCCTATGATATGTCGACACGTGCCACGGCCCACCACTGGCCCATTTAGCTTACAAAGCCGGCCCGTTTGACTTGGTCAAAAGTTAACGGGCTGGCCCATGAAAAGCCTGTTAACGGTCTCTTCGCAAATAGCCCATTTTACGGCCCGTTAGGCACTAAAGGAAATCGGCCCAACAACGTCATGTGGCCCGTCGAATATAACACCATCCCATTTCACTTTCGGCCCATGTATGGCCCACGACGTCTTTCGGCCCATATGAGGCCTTCGTATCTTTCGGCCCTTTACAGACCCACAGTGACTCTAGCCCATAATGAACAGTAATTTTCTTTATACCCGTTAACGGCCCATGATTTACATGGCCCGTTTCCAGCCCGTGTTAGCTTTCGGCCTATTGACGACTCATACGTTCTTGGGCTCCTTTTCGGCCCTCGATTACTTCCGGCCCGTTACTGGCCTGTTCCCCTAATGGGCCAAATTCGGTCCATGGCAAGAGTCGGCCCGTTACTGGCATGTTCCCCAAATGGGCCAAATTCGGCCCATGGCAAGAGTTAGCCCGTTACTGGCCTGTTACCCTAATGAGCCAAATTCGGCCCGTGGCAAGAGTCGGCCCGTTTCTGGCCAGCCCGTCCTATATTCTGGCCCATTAACGACCCGTTATGCCTGTGATAGAATTAAGCTTTTGCAGTCCTACGACCTGTTAACGGCCCGTTACCGTGCTGGGCCGATACCAATTACGCCCAATTACGGCCCATGTAGACCCATTTATCCGACGGCCCTAGGCCCATTTATCGACGACCCGAGGCCCACCGATTACAGGCCCATTTATCGACGGCCCGTAGGAGACCCATGGATCCTACGGCCCGTATATGGCCCATGGGTAGTTGCGGCCACTAGCAAACAGGGAAAAAGAAGACTAGGAAATAAATAAGGCCCAAACTAACGCTAGGCTATTAAGGCGATTGCACAGATTACATCCACTCGGCATCAAAGATCGCCACCAGTGCAAATATAGGGAACACCCTACACTATACAAAAATGGCTTGCTGTTTTCTTCAGCCGGTGGCTGCACGTTAAGAATAAATTTTGTATCGCACCAAAACAAATTACAACTATATAACAAAAGGAAGGTTGGCATAAAATTTAACAGTTTAGCAGATAAATGCACCACCAGAAGTTCAGAAGCTCGGTTCATTTGACCTGACTGTTACGTTTTCATACTGTATTGTCCAATGGAACACCATAACCCTCGCCTTCATTTCCCCTAGGCTCCTGAACAACATAGCAAATGTCTGATAGTCTGGTTTCAAAACCATGCATATCTTGACGACATTGAGCAATGTTTCTCCTTGTTTCATAAAGGGCCTCTGTTAGGGAATGGACTTGTGTCTGGAGCGCAGATACAACATTGCTTTGAGCTTGCATATCTTGATCATGAGGCAGTTTGGACGATATTGCCTTAACAACCAACCCAGTATTACGCAGGAATGTGCTTTTGGCACTGTTAGTGGACATGTACTGACCCACTGCAGCAAGAGCTGACATTGCGGTTATAGTTGCCTCACCACCTTCAGAAGGTGTCGGTTCCACCATTTTTCCATAGCTCGCTGAAAAGTTGAGGTTTTACATTAGTAGTACCAGAACAGAAGATATTAAGGAGGCAGCAAAACCAAACAAAATAGCTTTGGTCTATACACAGAACTTATTCTGGTGAACCCATGTAAACTATTAGTAGTATTTTATTGCAAAGTACATAATAAAACCAGGTTCCAAACATATGACCATGTACCATCGCTAATGTACTGTGTATTTCTTCACATTGTATTGAGGTCTAAGGATAAAGAGACGAAGTTTATAATACGGTAAGCATAGTATGACACCATTCATATCACAAAACAACTGAGAACAGACAAACAGGCAATTGTAACGTTGTGTGGGCAAGTCCAGCACGGAACTAGATTACGGGTCAAGATCAAAGGAACATCACTCCTCCCTTTTAAACCTTGTAAGGTGCAATGATACGCTAAGACAATTGTGTATAAAATTGAATAGAGTAATAGACATTGGCTGCAAACCATGCAGTTCAAGGCACAAGTCAGAGTAAGTAGTAGTTAAAAGGCATGAGGATTAAGGACTTACAACAGCGGCTTTGACTGGTGTAGTCATGCCCTTCTTCTTGCTGGTGTGACAGTCCTTGAAGATTTCCACAGCATTTGGTCCAGGTACTTTTTGGTCCTTGCGGGCTTTCCTCTGCATTTCGAACAAGTCAATATAGATCTGATAATATGGTACAACAAAAAAAGTGAAACAACAACTAATTACAAGAGCCTCGCAGTGTGCAATATAGCTACGAGATCCTGTCGTCTGTTGGAATTTCACTTTCTATGCTTGGCCTTGTTCTTTGAACAGTTCACCTACAAGAAGATAGATTTGTGTGGCACATGCGTCAATAGGACTTCAACATGTGATCTGATCACATATATATAATGTACCTGATACTTCGGATCAGACCAGTGTTTAACAAGGCCCCTCCAGTCTTCATCCGATATATTTTCCACTGGAGATGTTTGGGAAAGTTCACTGTTAGCCTTTCCTTCAAAGTGAGTTTTCCTCAAGTTATACCGATACTGTCGCAGAGCAGACTTGAAAACATGGGTGCAAGCTTGTCTGGTTGCATCATCTTGGCTATCCAACTTGAACCTCATCTGTTGAAAATTATGGGAGTCTCATTATCAGCAACCCAGAAAGTATGGGACAGAGCAAGACGATATTACTAGTTTCCATACATAACCATACTTACAGATAAATGGTCGAGGAAGGTGTTGAACTGGGTTTCGTCTTTGTCATTCATGTACTGAATCCATGTTGGGAGGATACGTACATGACACCTAACGGCAACCGCTGCCTCTGATACTAACTTGGCTGACTCTGTAGCATCACGTGGCCTTTTTAAACCTCCCTCAAAACGGATCTCCATTCTTCCTCCTCTAGATTTAGTTAACCTATCGAGCATTATCCCTGATGTTTGTTTCCTCTTGCGCCTAGGTGCTAGTCCAACAACAAACATAGGAAGTGTTAGTGTACATCAAACTGTGAGACTACATATAAAGAAGCATGCAACTGTAACTTGACTCCAGCAACTACCTTCTTGTTGTTGAAGCTCACAAGGTTCATCTGATATTGCCAACTCGTCTTGTGTCAAGATTGCTTGGGAAGTAGTGTCAGGTGGCAAGGGAGCTTGGGAACGTGCTGCTAGCTCAGTTGACGCACGAGTATGTCGTGCAGCTGGTAGTACTGTGGTAGGTGTTGCAAGAACTAGGGTTGTCTCTGCTTGTTTGGTGGCAGCTATTTGTTTCTGTTTGGCTTTTTTTGCAGTTCGTGTAGCATGGGATGCCGTGTTTGTAGAATTTTCCGCTGGACTTTCACCTTCTATTGCACCATCAGTACCAGCAGAATCTGCAGGATTCATTCGCTTCTCATTCCCTGCCATTCTCTGTTTCTTCCTCTTT